ATGCTTGCACTCTGACTAATGAGAAAATAGTGACATTATGAATCCTCAAAAATTGGTATTAGTCAATACCCAATTACCCATAAGTCTTAATATTTTCATCCTTAGTGGACAAAATAGTAGGAAGGATGCAGTATGTATTTGGGATATTATTGCAGAAACTTTCCACAAGAGTACCAGGTTTCCTTTTTATTCGGAGGGCTCTAGGCTGGTAAATTTGTCTAGGTCTGAAATTTGTTCACAAGGCTGTCATTCTCTACTCTGGTGGCTCAAGTCAATCCTCTATTTGCCAGGCCATATTATAGGCATATTCTACTTATTCAGATTAAGTAGGGACCTTAGTAGGCTGCCCATCTCTTTAGTCTTAGGAAACCCATGGTCATTTAGCCACTATCAAAGATACATGTTTGTGTATAAGCTAATTCAAACCTTGAAAATTCATTCTGTATACCTAGTACAGAACAGACCGTACTAAGATCTCCAGACCAGCAAAGTCAGGACTGTAGAGACAGTGCATTTGTGGGAGGTGCTTTCTTCCTTCTGTCCTCTAAAAGCCAAGATATGTATTCTAACTGAATACTGAATATGAGAGTCAGTGCAATATTGCTGGTTTATAGAATATACTTTTTCCTAGAAGACAGCATTATAGCCCCATAAAGTAGACCCCAACTGACACTATAACTGAAGAGCAACCACTGGCAGGGGTGATAGGATGCATAATAATGATTAATACTATTACATCAGCTTACCACCAACTTCTTTCATGGTGAAGTGAGTTCTCTGGTTAGGAGCAATGCTGTGGGAGAGGTAACAGGGCGTGCACAAGGCATTCAGTGACAGTAGATATTAGCAAAGGTATCATGGGCAGACAAGGCAAGTTTTATTGCCTAAAGTTCTGCACTCTGGGAAACTCCCTTCTCTGAGACCTTTAAAGCTTCCTGGGGTTGTAAACAGTTCCGTTCTTCAGATGGCTGTCGTATTATAGGCCTGCTGCATACTCATTTCTGCAGGCCAGGCTTAAGTTTTATTTTTTCCTATTGAAAAATTTTATAGATTAGCATATTACACTTTCCACTCTGGCCACAACTCTCTTTTCTATTTTTGTCTTGACTACTTCTATACATAAACTCTATTCTTCAGCAAAAGTTATGTATTATTTCCTAAGTATTGTATACTTTTCTATATTCGTGTGATTATTTTTGCTTCTCAGCTTTTTCTTTCTTTTTATCCCTCATCTCTATCTCATGTTGAAAGCTTATTCATTATTCAAAAATCCAACTGAAATGCACCTTTTCTTAACATACAGGGAAAAAGCTGATTCTGCCTTTAAAGGCTCATAGTGTTTTAGATCTCTTTATAACACTTCCCACTTCAGTTACTTGTGTGTATCTCTCACTCTAAAATCTGGTCTATCCACTTCATTTTATAAATAAGAAAGTTGAGATTCAGTTTTAAGAGACTTATTCAAGATTCCACAGGTACCCACTAGAGATATATTAGAATAAAAAGAAAAGATAATTAAAACCAAATAGCACCTCTGTAGAAAGGAATT